ATTATAAACATTATTCAAATCTTAACGCTGACCGCTACCATCTAGAGATGGCGAAGCCGGCCTTGCTCTTTTAAACCGAGACTCAAGTGTCCTTTTCGGCAGATACGTCATACCTCTCTTACCCAAGGTACAAATTGGAACACTCCTTTGTGCCCCGGGCTGGAGTTTGCGTATACGTCAAAGAGGTTATCTGTTTTCGATGCTTCGATGCTCAGTCTTGAAGGTACGGACCTGTCCAACCTATGGTTGCGCGTAGACAGCGACGATCACCCCGCGTCTACGAGTGCCTTTATAGAATCAATAGCGGTAATAGCAAAACTAACCGACTCGTCGATCACGTCCAAATGGCTGCAGACTCCGTGCTACAGCAGATCTCATCCGCAGGGATCGTGAAAGCATTTCTGTACTTCCATCATGATATTTAACTTATTACCACAGAGCATAGTTGGTGTCGATAGTGATATGATAAATAATTATAAGCTATAAACATTTTGCATAAACTGCTACACAATTAAACAAGCAGAGCAACCTGGAACAGTTTTAACGCAGGGTTACTATTTCAAAATACAGCGGACCCGCGGTAATCCGACAAACTTTTTGCAAGGTGGTGTCGGATTATCGAATTTTTGAGTACTGCCACAGCCCCCTGGTAGTCCGCAACTTTTTTAAAAGAGTACCTTGTAATCCTACAGATCACATATCAAATATAAAATAATAAAAAATAAAAATGTCATGTGATGCAGAATGAACATCTAAACAGTAAATAATGCAAGCCCGCTAGGCCGCTACCATAGTTACATTTGAACTGAGACAATACGCGTCAAGCTAGATTCGTGGTGGCGCGAACTAATTGCAACCTTTTTGTCCACGTATTCGCCAAGGACACCTCCCCCAGGTGGATTCATAGCGCGACTCGAATCTTCCTACAAGTTAAAGACATGTCGGATTACAAGGGAGGACGGATTAGCCAGGGACCTGATTACTGTGAGTCCGCTGTACTTAATTTCAACATAAGAAGCTTAAATAAGAACTTTTGAACTACTTGAAAGAGATTTGACACAGTTTTCGACTTAATTATTTTAACTGAATCTCGGCTTAATGACATCTTATTAATTTCTCTAATAGAATTTTATACTATCTGTTGTAGAAAAACAATAATTAACCAAAATAGCAGCATTATAAGGATACATGAAATGCTTCAGTTTTGGAACCCGACCTTAAGGATGCCAACTGCCTGCAAATCCAAATTTAATATTTTATTACCATAATTGCAACATATCGTCCTCCCTCTTTCAAAAATACAAAAATTGTTTGTAAATAGTTTTTTGTGTTCTCTTAACTCAATATTAAATACACATACAAACTCTAATACTAACCTTGTAGTAGCCAGTGACTTAAATATAAACTTGCTATCTGCATCAAGTAATCAAGATTTCGAATACTTGTGCTTAACGGCAGAGCGGTCTTTTTCTTGCTATAACAAAGCCAACAAGAGCGAAAGCGTGTCTTGACCATGTTTTTGTAAACAAAACTGAAGATGCTATTGGTGTAGTCTATTGTAGTGATATCATGATATTACTATACTAGGTCTATTATTAACTATGCACAACTTAATGATACTAAACCGCATAAGGGTTAAACTCGACATACATGCGATCAGAAAAAATCTCAGTAAAATTGACTGGTCCAAAAAATTTGACTCTCACGACCTAAATAAAACAGTTGCCTTGTTTGCCCTTTTTCGTGTATCTCTACGCCTTTTTTCTTTGCGTATTTCAAATAATTAGCAAGCACACAAGTAAAGTAACATTGAAACGTAGAGAACATAATATGAAACCCTGGATCACTACCGGATTATCCACCACATACAAACGCGAAAATATCTACATGACATTCGCAAACGAATTATATATACTCACCATCGTAATTTCTGTGGTGACTTTTTACGAAAACTTAAAACAGATTACCAAAACTAAATCTCGTCGAGTAATTTAAATAATCCAAGAAAAATATGGAGTTCAATTAAGGATATTTGTCATTTTCCTGCAAATAAACCTATGCCTCATGAATTACTTAATATTGAAGGGACGACTAACGCTAAGTACTCCTAAGTGCAATGGCTACTTCTCAACAGTGAGACAAACTCTAGCAAATATTATGCTACACAAATTACAAACTGAGGAAAAAATTCTAGCGACAAAAATTAATCCAAAACATTTTAAACCGAACTCACTCTTTGTGCACCTTATGGATGAATTTAACTTACAGGCTCTTATTCTATCACTGCAAAATGACAAAGCCCCGGATATTGATGGTCCAATTAATGCTCTTTTAAAAGAAATTTAAGATATAGTCATCCCGCCTCCTACTGTCACCTTCAATCTAATACTGTTGACTGGTATTTTTCCAGAAAGCTAGAAAATGGCATAAATTAAACCTATTTATAATAATGGGCCTAAAAACACTCCGCAAAACTGCCGTGCTATTTCCTTGCTGACAACATTCTTCAAACTGCTTGAGAAGGTGGTTCGCAAAAGATTAACAAAATTCATTGAATCGAATAATTTAATATCGTCAAGGTAATTTAAGGCTTTAGAAGTGAAAAGTCAACAGAAGATGATGTACTTTGGCCTACGTTAATCACTCCAGTGTTACTGCGGATGTCTTCATTATCGATTCTATCGCGCAAAAAAATCGCGTAGCCGTCTCCAAGTTTATTGAGCAACCTTAAACTTCCTTATACGACTAGCAGTGACACTACACCTACAACATACTCAACTTCACTATATCTAGTACAACACCCACTGATTCGACAAAATCTTTAAAAAAGAGTGAAAATGAAAAAAAATATAGCACAAGGGTGACGAACGAGCAAACAGTCCACCTGATGGTAAGTTTTTTTTTTATAGGATAGGGTGACAAACGAGCACACAGTCCACCTGATGGTAAGTGGTTGCTGTGGCCCATAGACATCTACATCTATCCTCAATTACGAATCAAAATGCAGATGCGTTGTCACCCGTGAGGACTAAGATGGAATGCCTCGTTTCCAGTAAAAAGGGTCTCCGGTTCTCTACACTCACCATACGAAACACAGCAGCATTAAGCTACTATTTCACGCTGGTATTCTATGAGAGCGTGGTCCTTCCCCGGTCGAGCCGACCCATTCGTGCTACAACTATACATCTAATATAACTGCAGCATGGCTCTACCACGTATAAAAGTACCACGTATATAAGTAAGTGGATGCTGTGACCCATAAACATCTACATTTATCCTCGATTAACACTCAAATTGCGGATTCATTGTCACCCTTGATGACTAAGATGGAATGCCTCGTTTGCAATAGTCTCCGGTTTTCTACACTCACCACACGAAACACAGAAGCATTTAGCTGTTATTTTACGTTGGTATTCTCTGTGAGCGTAGTCCTTACCCGGTCGAGCCGAATACAGTAAGTTGAAGTGAGGATCGCCAAGTTATATATCTAAAAGAACCGGCAACCAATAGGGAAGTAATGATTTCGAATGGCAGCAGGTAAGCAGAGGGTAGGGAGGTCTCCCTCTGCTAACCCGATTGAGGTGGCTTATGATCGTGTTTTATGTGATTCCTTGTTCAGCAGTAGACTTCTAAAGAAAATGATAAATTTTTTACAAATAAAAAATTTTGTACAACCGACTTCAACATAAACAGAATGCAACATCATCAATGTAGTCGAAGTCAATTAAATACGCATTATCAAGGATAACTCAAAAACTACTACTCAGATCTTAATCAAACGAAAGAGGATCACATGAAAAGCATCAGCTTTCGAATAAAAAGAATCATCAAAATCCGTTAACCGAAAAAAGTTCACAGGTAACACACAAAAAAATATATAATCGAATTGAGTACCTCCTCCTTTTTTGAAGTCCGTTAAAAATGACAGCAAGTGCTAAAAAGAGCAATATATTATATCACACTAAAGGTCTAATAACGAAGACTAATTTAAATTCGCTATAAATATATAAATGGCACACGTATAATATAAATCAGTGAACTACGTATATCTATTGTAGTCGTAAGGTCAGTCACACTTCAAGCTCAGAAATAGAAGGGTTGTAGAATAGTTTGCTATTTCAATATGTCTCCGGGGATGCCATGAGCGAGTGAATGAAATCGATACTAAAATTAGATAGCTATATTTTCCCTCATGCGATTAAAAATATGTGTAAAATAATTTCGTCTCTTACTTGTGGTCATAATACTATTTTAATGATATCTTCACAACTTTCTTGTAAAAGATTTCGGCCCCCATTAGGCAAAGGAGAATTATTAACAGTAAAAACTATTTGTGAAAAAAACGTATGTACAATCTTACTAAAAAAGCTGAAAATTATGATTTATTAATTAAATTTGAGAATTAAGAATAATTTTAATGAAGAACTTAATACAGATAAAAAAGTTCCTCGTCAAAATTATATAGTACGTGGTAGAGCCATACTGCACCTATATTATGGTTGTAGCACGAATGAATCGCCTCGGCCGGGAAGGTATTTACTATATGACGCTCTCAGAGAATACTCACACTTACTCACAGCTTAATGTTGCTGTGTTTCGTAAAGTAAGTGTAGAGAACCGGAGACCCATTTTACAGGATGTAAGGCGTTCCAGCTTAGTTCTCAGGGATGACAACTAATCTGCATTTTAATTCTTAATCGAGGATTGCTGTAGATGTCGTGTGTGTGCTCGTTTTTTACCGTATTCTATGAAAAAAGTAAAAAATTACTTTCAAAACGAATTATTTATAATCGATATACCTAGATTATTACAAATTACTTCTTTTTAATCTATTAAAAAAAGAATAATACAATTTCCAAATCATTTAATAGCTTCTGAAGTCGTTGTTAAGACGAGAAGATCGAAGAATTAAAACTCCGACATCAGAAGCTATTAAATTATTTACTCCTTCAAAGCAACAGAATACTTTCTGTGTTCTGTATTGACTAAATTTTGAAACAATGCAATCATTTTTGTTTCAGTTATCAGCTACTGGGGAAGGCGCTAGTGCAGTGGACGTGGTGCGTCGCTATCGTCTGGAGAACGGTAATTCTCTGGGCGAAAAAGATGAGGTGAGAATATAAAGTACACTTTATGAAAACTTTTTCATATGATACATACAGTAACGAGCGTATGTCTCAATGGTCAAAGTTATATCGTTATCGCTACCAAACCGTGGATCGTTTTCGCTCTGACATAGAATATACTAACCGCCTGCGATCTTTGCGCATTAGCGCTACATTTTCACGTAGAATAGAGTAAGTGAAAATTTTGCATTCCTGGCCGCTCATAAATCTTTGAATTTCGAATTTTATATTTTTAAAGATAAGAAATAACCTCATATATTTATTGAAATAATACTTGACGGGGAGTCGCGCGTGGTTTTATATCACGTGATGAATTTCGTTATCCGTAGCAAAAATGGAATGGCGATGATTTTTTATGGTTTCATCACCACATTTGAGCACTGTAGGGCGTTGGAATGCAGAAACCTATGAAATTCGTGAAGATCCACTCTCAACTGTGATCTTAGATCTACGACTAATTGAAGAAAACCGGCGCACCACCCACGAGGAGATTCAAGGACATTTGGATATTTTTACGAGTCAAATTCAAACATTTTACATCTACTTTTAAAAGTTAGAAAACTTTTTTGGCGCTGGATACCTCATGAACTCATTCCAGAATAAAAACGGACTCGTGTTGATTGGTTTAAAGAAAATATTGTTAAAGTATGATCACAGACGTTCAAATGCTGTGTATGACATTGTGACATGAGATGAAACATAAATATATTGTTATACTCGTAAATCGGAAAAAAAGTCTTCAGTATGGGTCATCTTCAAAGTGCACACAATTTGGACCTGAGCTATTTTGTGGAATTTCAAGAAGCCTAGCCCGATTGACTCTTCAAACTCTTTATCACAGGAAATCACTTAAGATCTGGTCTGACACACCGGGCTTAAAACCTTAATCCGGGCCTTTGATCGTAAATTCGCTTCAGAAGCCCTGGGATTAAGTAAAAATTAATTGCGCATTCTGGCCTAACTGGACACTGTTGTCTTAAAAAGCACATGTCCATCCTGGGACTAAGCAACTCAAGGATGTGTTGGTTCTGTTCCATAACGGAAGAAACGCCTCTACACATCCTAACTGATTGCGAACCCTTAATGCGCAGACGTAACACTACCGAAACTATGTACTCCGCCCAGAAGAAGTGAAATTGCTCAAGGCTAAGCAACTCCTTCTATTCATTGAAGACATAGGGCTTAGCAGTGAACTATAGCGATAGCAGCAATCACAATAGATCTTTTAGATAGCAGTGATACTGGTCTCTTTCCCTAGACCTGCATAGCTGCTCTCACGTAATTAAAAAAATGGGTGCGTCGAGCATGGACCAGAAAATGATTGCGGTATGTTTTTCTCCTAGACGGGTTCTGTCTGCACGATCCCACTTGAACAAAAGAAGGTTAACGCTGTGAAGTACACTATCATTTATTAGCTCAATGTTTTAGAAGAGGTTAGGGAAAAACGAAAGACGAAAAAGTCGTGATATTGCACCATGACAATTCTGCGGCGCACTGCGAACAAGACAAATCTTTTTTAGCTTAAAAGGTGGTGCTCGCCCATTCCGCATACATTCCAGACCATGCACCATGCGATTCAAAAGCTTAAACCAGTGTCAAATTCGTTATTTAATATTAATAATGTATAATTAATGAAAATTTACATTGTAATCTATATTAGATTTATTTATTTCATCATTCTCTTCACCAACATCAATAAATCTTTCAAAATTTCTTCGAAATTACTCAAGGCACGAGCATAGATATTTATGTTGTACCTCAAATTTAATTTATTACAAAACTCATTTCGTAATAATCCTCTCGTAATTCACTCTTGACATAAACCCCTTCAAGATATTTCGATAACATTCTATACTTAATCGAATTATGACTACTTCTCCGTTGACATTAATTTAACATCTGACGAATATTGAAGTAGGACAATTATAATTAAATAAGATTATAAGAACTTTTCAAACAAATTATTTTACGTGATAGCGCCATGCTACAATTTATATTGTGGTTGTAGCACGAATGAGTCGGCTCGACCGGGGAACGACCACGCTTTCACAGAATTCCAGCGTAAAATAGCAGCTTAATGCTGCTGTGTTTCGCATGGCGAGTGTAGAGAACCGGACACCCTTTTTCCTGGCAAATAAGGCATTCGATCTTAGTCCACCGGGGTGACAGCTCATCTGCATTTTGATTCTTAACCGAAGATAGATGTAAATATACCACTTACCATCAGGTGGACTGTGCGTTCGTTTGTCACTCTTATTCCATTAAAAAAAAACATTGTCTTTGCAAGCATGTTTGCTCACCACTTAGAACTTCAGCTAGACAAATAAAGATAAATACTTCAACTAAATTTCTGTTAAAAGTGGATATTGACGGTGTAGTGGCGGTGTAAGGATCTATCCACTGCGCCATATCTCCACGTGTTTGTCGTAAAAAACGACACAGAGGAACAAACCAGGAATTGAGCAGCAGCATCAAATTACAGCTAGAAAATAAAAAGCTACTGTTGCCAACCTGCTTGCGAGGCGTGGCAACTTTTTTTATAGGATTAGGGTGACAAACGAGCACACAGTTCACCTGATGGTAAGTGGTTATTGCGGCCCATAAACATCTACATCTGTCCTCGATTACAAATCAAAACGCTGATGCGTTGTCACCCGTGAGGACGTAGATGGAATGCCTCGTTTCCAATAAAAAGGGTCTCCGATCCTCTACCCTCACCACACGAAACACAGCAGCGTTAAGCTGCTATTTTACGCTGGTGTTCTGGAGAGCGTGGTCCTTCCCCGGTCGAGCCGACTCATTCGTGCTACAACTATACCACTTATATAGCTGCAGCGTGGCTCTACCACATAGGAAACTAAAACTATGACAAGTGCCTCCCTACCTGTTACCTCTTATAAAGCAATATATAGGTTCTGTGTTCATCAATGGACTTAGATTTGCTGTAATGAATGTAATGAGGTATGGAATATAAATGCAAGTAAAATGTTTTATAAACTTCCATAAATCCTATACACATTTTTTATTCATTGATAATTCTATAGATATTTCGCCTTTGTCATGGAAATTGCCATGCATCAATAGCCATTACCATTTGATAAAGTCGTTTCCATTTGATGAAGTTTTAATGTATTAACTAATTTATAAAACATTTTTATGTATTATAGCTGCAGAATCACTACATCAATCTTATCATTAGCTCAAAATATTAAGCCATTTTTAATTTCCTCGTTTTATATATTACTAGCTGTGCCCCGCGGTTTCACACGCGTATACCACGCGTGTGGGCCGCTCGATATGATACGACACCTACTTCAAGCATTTCTGATAGCATTGTATGGAAAAATTGTCCAAATTAATGGAGTACTTGTGTCTATCGACATAATATGTACGTTAGAGAGCGAATCACTCTCCCTCACACTACACACTTTTCAAGTGTCGTGTTTTCTTTAAAACTGGAAAAAATCGCGATTTGGGATAATTTTTGTTCCACGGGGGAGTATAATTTAAAAATTGAGCTATTATCACTATGGAAAATTACTTTTGCTATCATATGTTCACAAAAAGCAAGTAAAATTGGTTTTTATTTAGTTTTTTTTTGCATTGCAATAAAAAAAAATAACAATTTTTATAAAAATCTTTATTATTATAATATTTTGTATTGTATTTCTTTTATTTAATAGATTTATAATATTTTAACAGTTTTAAATAAATTTATTGATATGAAAGGCAACATTAGGCCTTTAATTTACTATACTTATTATACTTAATGTGTGAAATGTATTTATTTCAACTTTTTGCTTATAATTATATTTTTTCAATTTTAGACGGATTTACATAAAAATTAATTATTATTAATAATAATGCGCCGTCACAATATCAATAATATGTTGGAAACCATAACATTAATTGCTACGTGAATGGCAGCACTGATTAAAACGTCTCGGGGAAACGTCGTCGAGTGTCGGAACAAACTTGTTTCTGAAGTCGAGCCTTTGCTCTATTGGGGGCAATATATTTTAATAATTGGGGATACATTAACCCGGGAGTGGCTCTGGCAGATTGGTAGTCACAGTGCCAGGTGGCTAACACTTTTGACGCTGCTTCTAGATGATATGAAATAAATTAAACTTTCTTTTACAGTTATTTGGACCTCCAAGCGCGCCAGTTCTCGAAAATCCTGAATTCCAAACGAGATGGTACTTCAAATATTTTCTCGGTAAAAGTAAGTAAATGTAAGATTTTTTCCTTTATGTTATACGAAATTCTTTATTTCCGCTTGTAATACTATATTGTGTGTAATCTCTTATAATTCCCGGCCTTTGTATCACACAACAGTTAAGTAAAAAAACATCACCTGACCTGAAATGTCTCGCTAGAAAACGCGAAACATTTCTCATTTTGGAGAGGGTAAGGGACTTGGCGATAGTTCATCATGCTTTTTTCCACGTGAGTTAGACGGGGTCGCAGAAATTTATTGCTCAAAAAGCAGGCTACCTTGTAATGTTTTTCTTTATCGTTAAGTACCGTTCTTTACGATAAATCGCCACCTATTCTAAGTGATATTTTCTGAGACGCCATCATAATAACACTGTATTATTTTTATGTATAACAATATTGTTTTAATTTTAGATTGAAGTAAGTTATCGAGAAAATATATCAAAACTTTATAGTCCTTCCTTCATCTTTGAATATTGCAATATTATTATTGTTGATTTCGTCTAAGTATCCGGATAGTGTGACTTTTTGTTGTGAATGTTATGCCTAGTAATAAAACACAACTAACATCAACAGATGGCGTGTACCAACAAATATCAAATTTTAGAAAATATTTCTGTCGCAGTACATAAAATCTATTCTTCCAACATATAAAAAAATATTCAAATTACTGACACGACTATTATAAATTTGTATAGAATATTCTTTTCTATTCTATTCTAAAAGTTTAAGTACTTTTTGGTTTTTTTGTCCGATTCACGATTTACGATTCATGCAAAAACTACGGGACCGATTTCCATCAGGTGTTTATTTTCACAATAGTTGCTGATGATTTCATCAGTGATATACGAAATAACATAAAAATAAGTGCCGTGTAGTGGCGGTTGAGAATATCCACTACCCCATATCTTCCCGTGGGTGTCGTAAAAGGCGACAGAGGGAGACAGGCAGGAGATGGGCAGCAGCATCTTCCTGATAACAACTGTGACGTAATAAAAAACTGCGGTTGCCAACCCGCTCGCCAAGCGTGGCAACTATGGCAAATACCCCCCAATGAATAAATACACAAACAGACGGCCCCCAGTCCCCGGCGGCCCCGCTATTCCTGGCTACGGTGGCGACCATGGTAACGGCGGGGCAGGGGGTGCTAAGAATCTCCGGTGGAGGTTCGGTTGCCACCTACGACGACTCGACCTGGCAACATATAACGCACGCACCCTGAGGACTGACGAGAAGATACTAGAGCTGGAAGAAGAGGTAGACAAGTTGCGCTGGCATATTATTGGATTATCCGAGATCCGAAGAGAGGGGGAGGACACGGCAATCCTCGAGTCCGGCAACTTGTTCTATCACCGGGAGGGCGACCATCTGTCCCAAGGAGGTGTCGGATTTATCGTCCACAAGTCTCTCGTCAACAACGTTGTAAAGATTGGGAGTGTGTCGACGAGGGTCGCGTACCTCATACTCAGAATCACCAAACGGTATTCGCTGAAGGTCATTCAGGTTTACGCACCAACCTCGGCACATCCCGATGAGGAGGTGGAGGAAATGTATGAGGATATTTCCAGAGCCATACATTCCTCCAAAACCCACTACACGGTGCTGATGGGAGACTTCAACGCAAAACTAGGCACAAGAGAAAGCGGTGAGCTGAAGGTAGGTAAATTTGGAGTAGGGCAACGGAACCGAAGGGGCCAGCAGCTGGCCGACTTTATGGAGAAAGAGGGACTCTTTATGATGAACTCTTTCTTCCAGAAGCGGCCCCACAGGAAGTGGACCTGGTCAAGCCCCCGACGGTTCGACAAAAAATGAGATTGACTTCATTATGACGACCAGACGCCAACTGTTCAGTGATGTCTCAGTGATCGCAAGGGTGAAAACTGGCAGCGATCACCGAATGGTTAGAGGCACACTGAACCTAAACGTTAAGTTGGAGAGGTCTCGTCTAATGAAGTCAACGCTCCGTCCCCCTCGTGCTCTAATCCAGAATCCCGAAACCTTTCAGCTCGAGTTACGTAACCGCTTCCAGTGCCTAGAAGATTGCAATGCAGTGGACGATATGAACGACAAGCTCGTGGAAACTGTCCATGCGGTCGGAGCTAAGTTCTGCAAGACCCGCCGCAGAAGAACACAAAAACTCTCCGATCACACTCTTAATCTCATGGCTGTTAGACGGGAGATGAGGCTGCAATCGTCAACAGATTTGACAGCATACAGGCAACTGAACAGACAGATCTCCAAATGCATGCGGCGAGACTTACGCAACTTTAATACTTCTCGTATTAAAGAAGCGATCGAGCGGAACCAGGGCTCCAAAGTCTTTGCCAGAGATCTGTCTGCCAGAAAGAGCCAACTGTCAAAGCTGAAGACTGAGTGTGGCAACATCGTTTCCGGGACACCTGAGATTTTGAGTGAGATTGAGAGGTTCTATGGGCAGCTGTACACATCATCGTTGGAGCCACACGTAAGTGTGAGTAACGATCCAAGAGCAAGTCTTATCCGACACTATTCCGATGATATCCCGGACGTCAGTCTGAGCGAGATTAGAATGGCTCTCCACCACCTTAAAAACGGCAAGGCCCCGGGCGAGGATGGAATTACAGCGGAGCTTCTGAAAGCGGGTGGAAAACCGGTACTTGAAGTCCTTCGGAAGCTCTTCAATTCCGTCCTCCATGGTGGCACTACTCCGGAGGCGTGGAGCAGAAGCGCGGTGGTTTTGTTCTTTAAGAAAGGCGACAACGCTCTCTTGAAGAACTACAGACCGATTTCCCATCTGAGCCGCGTCTACATGCTATTTTCGAGAGTCATTACGAATCGTCTCGCACGCAGACTCGACGACTTCCAGCCTCCCGAACAAGCCGGTTTCCGAAAAGGCTTCAGTACCATAGACCACATACATACCCTGCGGCAGATTGTACAGAAGACCGAAGAGTACAATCTGCCACTTTGCCTGGCATATGTGGACTATGAGAAAGCCTTTGATTCCGTCGAAATTTGGGCGGTGCTACAGTCCCTTCAGCGGTGCCAAGTTGACTGTCGGTACATCGAAGTGCTGAAGTGTTTGTACAGTGGGGCTACGATGGCTATCCGAGTACAGAACCAGAGTTCGAAACCTATCCAACTGCAGAGAGGTGTAAGACAGGGTGATGCTATATCCCCGAAACTCTTCACCGCTGCGTTGGAAGACGTTTTCAAGCTACTGGACTGGAAAGGATACGGTATTAACATCAATGGCGAGTACATCATAGTCATTATGGCAGAATCGCTGGAGGACTTAAGCATTATGCTCAATGACCTCAATAGTGCCTCCCAACGGATAGGTCTTAAGATGAACATGGACAAAACAAAGATCATGTTTAATGTCCATGTCACACCTATGCCGGTAGTTGTTGGGAGCACTATGCTCGAAGTTGTTGACGAGTACGTTTACCTGGGACAAATAGTCCGACTAGGTAAGTCCAACTTCGACCGAGAGGTCAATCGACGGATTCAACTCGGCTGGGCAGCGTTCGGGAAATTACGACATATCTTTTCGTCAGGTATACCTCAATCTCTAAAAACTAGATTGTACAACCAGTGCGTGTTGCCAGTGATGACTTACGGATCTGAGACGTGGTCCTTCACTGCTGGCCGTATGAGGAGGCTTAAGGTCGCTCAGCGAGCTATGGAGAGGGCTATGCTTGGAGTTTCTCTGCGTGATAGACTCAGAAATGAGGATATCCGCAGTAAAACCAGAGTGATCGACATAGCCCAACGGATTAGTAAGCTGAAGTGGCAATGGGCCGGCCATATAGCTCGAAGAACCGATAACCGATGGGGAAGAAAGGTTCTCGAGTGGCAGCCTCGTACCGGTAGGCGTAGTGTAGGGCGACCCCCCACTAGATGGAGTGACGACCTGGTAAGACATGCAGGAAGTCGATGGATGCAGGTGGCTCAGGACCGTGCTTTGTGGCATTACTTGGGGGAGGCCTATGTTCAGCAGTGGACTTGTGAGGGGCTGTAATGATGATGATGATGATACGAAATAACGCAAAGTTCTTAAAAGTATAGTTAAAACCTGCGACGAAAATCTAGACAGTACGCTTTTAAAAACATTGCCATTTATTAAAAATAAAGAGTTATTATTTTTTCCTTAGATTCATCAATAAATTAATTAATGCATATAAATAGTTTATAAATTTATAAGTGCTTTTATGTGTATAAATCGCTTCTAAAATGTTGACTTTCAATATCTTAAAATTAAATTTTATAATAGTGCCATCAATGCCAAAGAAGGATGGTTCTTAGTTTATTCTGATATGTTTGAGATTGTGTAAAAACTCACCATCCTTTAAATAAAAAAATGTTTTATGTGTAAGGATACAATTTTAACTTTCATTATTTACAAATTTAATATTGTTAAGTAATATGATAAGGTACAAAATTCAAAAAGGAAACTAACTCGCCAAAATTAAAGAAAACTAAAAGATAGTACGTACTAAAGTAAAATAATGCAATTTAACCAAATGTATTAAGATAAAAGTCTGCATGAGTTAATCGATACCATGTTAAATACTTTGCTAACGTTTGATTTTGTTTCCAAATTACCCACAAAAAGTTTTCATATTTAATGCATTTCATAGATTTTTCATAGAACATCTGCCCAATTTATGTCACAAAATTAATATTTTATATCGAAATATTGAAACTTCATGACCGTTTGTAATTTACTGTATTTTATAACTATACCGTTACCACTAGCGTTTCAGCCTATCGAAATCCACTACTGAACGTCTATAACTATGCCAAATTTCAATTACATACGTAATTTTTTTAAAGTTAACGTTTTTCACAGACAGAGAGACACACATGCAAAAAACGAAAACAAGACCCAAAATGCGAATTTTGACATGAGACAAAAATTATTTTAGTAAAGCGGAGACAACGCGAGCAAAGCCATCAAAAACTAGTTGCATAATAAAAACTTATAATTATTTTTTAAACTGACTGACGTGAAGCACCGATGCT